TTTTTTTTTTTTTTTTTTTTTTACAGCTGCAGCACACTGCAGACTAGTACTGAGTCTGCAATCGACTGAGGATCCTGCTCCACAGTGCTGCCACCCACCCACTGGTCACCCACATTTTGTATTCCTACTTTTGATCATTTTTCCTGAGGTGTAGCATCTTGCTCAGCTAGAAGCAGTACCCCTCACTGTTCAGTCTTCCTGTACAACTTGACCTCAAGTCTTCTTCCCAAGCATCTAACTTTAACCCAAGATTTTTCTTCTCCATCTCCCTATGGGGGTAGCAACAAACATAACACAAACACGGGCTCCTTCTTAGTGTTAATCAAAAGTCCATCAAGATGTCTCAACATCTGCCAGCTTTGTGCCCAGCAGGAAAGTAATCCTGGTCTTCGGAGTCAAAAGACCAACTCTTCCACATTCTCAGCTTTGTCCTTCCTGTGCACCCAAGCCCTCACCATAGCAAAGTAAACAGACCTGTGCTCTCTGAGTGATGAGTTGAGAAGCATTGAACTTGGCCACCACGCTTTTGAGCACCTCGTTGACAATGGAAGGTAAGACCCGTTCCTCGTAATCCAGGCCTAAGCGCTGATACATGCTGGGCAGCTCCGCGGCATTGGGCCGTGAAAGGACACGCAAAGAAATGTTCACCATTTGCAGATCTAAGAGGAGAAAGCCAGTAAGGATGCACAGCCATAGCCACCCCATAGTTCTCAAGTCCTGCGGGCTCTGCACATCACCCCAGGACTCCAGTCCCAGGCTCTGTTCTGCCAGGGCCTCCCGCTTCTGACCAGCTGTCCCAATCCAAATACTCGAGTCCTCCCCACACACTGCCTTACCAACACCTCACAATCCTGACACATGGAAAACCTTTATGTTCTACTCCAGTGGAAGCCAACCTTTTTTTGGTAGGCATGCCTCAAATTAGCCCCGCACCCTCCCTGATGGCCACTTTAATCCTTTTCTCCTGCCTGCTCTGCTTTCTGTTCTGTTCTCTGTGCTCCCTGTCTAATCTCCTGCTCTGCTTTCTTCCCTACCTGCTGCTGTACTGCCTGTCTCTCCATGATCTGTTGTGTGCCCCACCCAGAGGCAGCTGTCTGTGCTACTTGTGGCACTCATGCTAGATTGGCTACTCTTGTTCTGCAAAAAATAGGCTGAGGGCCAGATCCCTTCCCCTGTCCTGCCCAAGCAAAGGGCCTCACCTTTGGAACCTGTTGGAGAGGAGATTTTTCGGGGTCGAGCCCGGATATCATAAATTACTGGATACTGAAACCAGGGAATTCTGTATAGAGAAATATTACATGAAAAGAAAAGCAGCCAGTGAAGTAAGGGGAAATCAGACAGAGCTTGCATGTGCAGTAAGCTAAAGAACTGAATGACACTGGAAAAGATGAAGATAACCATGTGCTCCAGGTAGTGGCCCACAACTCTGAAGACCCAAATGGGTGCTCCTCCTTCAATGGAGACATTTCCCGTGATCTCTAGCAAGTCACTTCTGTTTTTCTGTGCCTCCATGCTCCAGCTGTAAGAGGTGGATAAAGACACTCCTCTACCTCATTAAGGCATGGTAAGGAGACCAAAGGATGCGGGCTCTGGAAGAAAGGAGCTGGAAATGCCTTCGATACTAATCCTACACCTGCCCAGAGGTGTTGGTATGTAGAAACTTTACATTTCTCCTTTTCTTAAGGTAAATAACCTTGTGACTGGGAAAGGCTCTGCTCTTGTTTAACAGAAGGAAGAGAAAACCTCTTCCCCTGGGCCCGGTATGCCCAGGGCCCTCTTGTGTGCGTGA